AGGGGCCGATACTCGCCGGTGGAGCTTGAATATAGAAACATGATTTGCCTGAGCTCGCCGTCCCGTTCGACTCTTTGCTTTGCCTGTTCATCCCACGGTTGATGATCTCAATGGCATCACGCTCGGCACTAGAAAACACACACACACACACACTCACCCACATTAGAATCAGAGACGTGATTAAACCGAACAATAAACTCTGGGCGTCATCAGACTCACTCAGTCTGAGCCGGAGCTGAGTCGCTGTGGGGAGGTTTGTTCTTCATGGCCTCAGCGCACTGTGTGATCAGACACTGCCACCTGAGGGAACAGAGGCGACACGGCAGGATGAGACTAAAGAGAACAGACGTGACGTCGTCGTGTTTGTGGTGAAAGACTCACATTCTCTGATCGGACACGGTCTGAGCCATCAGCTCGTAGATCTGAGCGCCGTTATCCGACATGGACAGCACGAAGAACGACTTGTTGTCTGAGGAGAACAAACAACTCTCACTTATCACATGTTAGGTACAAATCTTAGTTTTGCATGTAAAGACTAGAAATAACACCCAAGACTCCCCGAGCCAAACTTTCACAGAATAGTTGATGTGATCTATCAGCTCTCACCAGTCGCCACTGGACGAACCAGTACATTGCTGAGTTTGATGATGGGGCTGAAGACGTTCTTGGTGTCAGCAGCGCTCGCCGGATTCTTCCCGTGGAACTTGAGGATCAGACGCTCGTCCTGTTTCTGCAGTAAAACCAAAATGTCCTCCAGCAGAATGGTGTAGAGCTCTGCGAGTAAAACACTGGTGATGCAAAACTGAATTTAAAAAACAAAAAAACATTTTCATGTAGCGGTGCGTTCATGTACCGATCGTCTTGTCTTTATTAACTTTCCAGGAGAGAGGTCCCTCGTGTACCATCTTCCTCTTGGTCAGGTCCAGATTCTGTCAATATAAAAAACAATGAAAAGAAAAACCTCATCAGATCATCGCTGAATAAAAGCTTCTGCTCTCTGAACGTCCGGAGCGTCAGCAGCTGGTTTCTTACCTTCAGCTCCAGGATCATGGGGTTTTCACTCTGCTTGAGTGACGAGTGGTCCAACCTCCTCTGATACTCCTCCAGCCTCTGTTCACACAGAACGTAAAACAAGTTCAGATGTTATTTCACCTCGACAGACATTCAGAACGTATCCAACGACCAAACATGTTGAACACAAAGTGCTGGACAGAAGCGAAGAAGATGCATGTTGGGGCACATGTCTGTTCCATCAGCCGTCGTGTGGACATTTTCTCCTCTCCTCCTGTCCGTACCTGTTTGTTCTCGGCCTCCTTCACGGCCTGGTTGACGTGGTTGAGGATCTTTTTACAACATTCGCCAGCTTTCTTCACCTTCTCCCTCTCGTCATCGTCCTCTGAGCGAAGACAAACAAGCACAGCAAAGAACTCAGACGTCCGTCATGCTCCTCTGTGAGCGAGCCGCTCTGCGACACGTGTGACTGTCCGTCACGTCTGTACCTGTGTACTTGACGATGTTGTCCAGCAGCAGCGGGTATTTGGTCAGTCTCTGCATCTCCACGGGGATGATGTCTTTGAGCTGCAGCCTGCGACACAGACGGTGTCTCTCGGCTTCCTGGAAACAACGAGGTGGAAAATATACAACATCAGATATGATCAACACATCTTATATATATTTAGGATGATTTTTATGTGAGTAAATAAATATTCCTGAAAGGGAAAATCAATTAACTGCATTTTTTAAAACAGTCAAAATAACAACTGCCATTAAATTAGTTTACAGAAGTTTGATTCAACACATAAATCTAGTGTTTGACTCTTATTACCAGAGTTTTAGTGATGACATTAGTTATTTCATCTCTTGTATTCACGTGTTAAAAGAAGTAAAATACCCCAAATTACATGATTTCATTATTAATCTTCTCTCTATGTCCTTGAATTTAAGGTTAATTTGTCAAACTGTTATAAAATGAATTTCCACATTAAAATATATTCTACAGCTTCAAATTCTTCACATTCAGTCGTCATCAGCTGCAGTGTGTCTGAAATAAAACCGCGATTGTCTCGTAGAATAAATGAAGAAATAAACTTTGCGCTGACCTTCATGAATAAGTTGAACCTCTGGTCTTTCTTCTTTTTGTTCTTGATGAGCTCCAGAGCAGAAGGTTGGTTACTGCAGAACGTTCCCACCGCTCGTTTTATCTTCTCCTCTTCCTCACCGCTGAACTGGAACCAACACACGTAAACACGACGCTCACGTGATCTGATCAACAACAGCTCAACAAGCCAGGTGAAAAACTTCAGGTGCAATATCAACACAAGTAAGAACAAACTTCACGTTATGAAATACGTTCAGTAGTTTTTGAATGAATTCATACTAATACATATATAAATTATATTATTATTTTTCCCTCTGAATCCCAGCAGTCGACTTTACCTTCCTCAATTTGTTCAGACACATCAAAGCATTTACTTCTACTAACAGATATTAAAAATATCAACGTACAAAAGAAGCAACTGAATGGAAATACTGAAATAAAAGGTTTACTGAAAAAGGCTAATTTTCCTGAAGACACTGTCCCGCTCTCTGATGATCAGAGTAGCTTCTGTTAGGATCTGATAATCCTAATTTGCACGACAAAGGACTTTGCTGTAAAACACAGCGCCTATTAAATCCTTTTGTAATCAGCTTGATGTTAAGTTGCTCTCTATGTGTGAGGCGGGCCATCGTTAAACCGCAGCCTGAGTTTGAGATTTGAGTTTGAACAGAAACTCGTCTTACCCACGCCAGCAGGTCATCTCCGATCTGACCGATCACCGACGTCTCACTCCTCTTCCTGGTGGCTGTCATCTGTTCCGTTATGGAAACTGTGAAGCACAGAGATAAGAAATGAGGTGATTCAAACATCTGGTCGTGGATCTTTCATTTGTTCTCCAGCTGCTTTAATAATGACTTCGAGGATGACAACTGAATTTTAGATGAATAGGAGCCGACAGCATTTAGTGGGACTGTAGAGTGAAAATAAAAGAGTCTGCTCTGTAACGATCGAGGGACGGAGCCACGACACAGATACTGACACTCAACCAATCGTGAGTCAGTCTCAGCCGTCAATCAAGACGTTAACCAGTTTTTATAGAATCAAATAACAAACAACACGTGAACAGAAATCGCTGTGACTTAATGACCCTAAATGACAGAAACAATCTCGGACGAAAATGCAGTCAACATGAAATTTTATGGTGCATGTCCCATTTGCTAACATGGAGAGAAGGCAGGGGTTTATGAGCCATCCTGCAGCCAGCCACTAGGGGGCGAGACGCTGTGGGCTTCACTTTTGAGGCGCCGTCATGTGGAACATCTTTATTTCCAGTGTGTGGTGTGAACAGCTGCTCTCTGTATTTACACAGATAATAAACCTCGACCAGGGTTGACGACTTGTTGGTGATGTCAATATTATATATTATAAACTTTACACATTATATTTATTACAGTTGTTGAATTCAATGATACGTGTAGTCATGTGTGTGTGTGTGTGTGTTACCGTGCAGCTGAATAATCTCCTCCAGGTTAATAAAGATGTGTCTGATGTCCTCAGGTGGGAGGACACTGTCTCTGTTCAACCTCTGGTAGAAAACACAGTCCAGCACCTTCAGCGTCCGCAGGTGGGCGCGCTCGGTGTAGAACAGCTCTGACGGCGCACAAACAAACACGTGTGAGCCAACGTACCGCGAACCCCCCTCCCTCCCCCCCCCTTCGTATTTCACGCGTGATTCTTGATTTTACCGTTGATGACTTCCTGCCGATTGATCTCCTGCGGCGTCAGACTCTCCAGGACGCCCCTGCTGACCAGACCCTGCCAGTTCAGAGGGTCCTCCTCACACTCCGCCTCGCCTCCCTGGTCGTCCTCGCTCTGGATGTCGGCTGAAGTCCCCGCCGCACACTGAACCTCCATCCTACTGGCGAGCCAAGACAGAGGGAGAGGGGCTTTTAAGAAGATTAATGAAGGAGCAGAAAGGGGAACATGGCGGGGGGGGGGCTTTACAAGCTGTTACCTCCATCACTGTCAAGTTGGTCGTGTTGTTTGAAACTGAAATCATTATTAAATAACAGGAAATGTGTGTGGTGACGTGCTTGTTCTTTATAATCATATCATCAATATGATCCCAGAATCGTTGATCTAAAGGTTTTTTAAAGGACAGTTCTCAAATGATAATCTGGTAAACTGACAGATTTCAATGTTCTGCTGCAGCTGACACAGAACATATGTAGTTTCCTTTCTTGATTTCCGTTGTTGGTTTTCTAAAATGGGTCAATTAAATTATATTTACCCAGAACACCTTCATTTAGTCCCTCTCTCGTGTCCTACATGGAGGGGGGGGGGGGGGGGGGGGGGGGGCGAACGCAAGAAAATCCCGTAAGTACCTGAAGGTCTCCTGCTCTTCCTCCTGCAGCTGCTCCAGGTTGGAGGGGCTGAAGTCGAACTGAGTGCTGACGGGACTGACGACGCCGTCCTGCTGGTCGCCGCTCTGCAGACCCTCGCCCGCTCTGGGCTGGACGGGGAACGGAGACAGATCTGGAGAACGTAAAGAGAACATCAGAACAATGGTAGATGAGGAGTGAGGACGGTATCTGTGCATCGTTCCTGGGAAATATTTTGAAGTTTGTCTCGTTAGTTTGGAAATGTTTTTCCACAGTTTACTTTATTTTCAAACCCTGAGGTGTGTTTGTGAAGGACGGATGTGGATTTCTTACTGGAGTCGGAGTCTTGTCCGCTGGCGTCTGAGGCCTGAGCGGTGGGCGAGCTGTGACTCTGGGATGCAGCGAAAGGTGAAACATGGAGACCAGCGTCCGATCCCTCGCTGAGCTGATTTCCACGGATCCGTCCGGAGGAGGAATTGGAGGCGGGGGATTCGGACTGCTCGCGGATGAAGACGACCGGCTGGGAGAGCTGCTTTGGTGACCGCTGCTTGTTCAGCTCCACAGCTTTACCCACTGCACACACACACACACACACACACACACACACACACACACTGATAACATCTGTATGCACACACTCATAGACACTAGATATGATATTTGCCTCTGTCCTCCAGGATTTCACTGGTTTATTACAGTTGCAATAAAACAAGGCGCAGTGCATCGGAGCTTCTGGTGTGTGTGATATTTTTAAAAGAACATTAAACTGCAGGTTTCATCTTCACCTGACGTTGAATCCACTCTGCTCAGGCGTCTGGGAGGACCGAGGATGCTGGGAAATCTGGGCTTTTTCACCTTCTCCTCACCTTCTCTGTCAGGTTTGATGCTCTTCTGTTTGTTTGGATGACACAGTTATTAGACTTGAGGTGGATCAATGATTCCAGGACAAAAATAAACCAGAGCACAGTGTGATTTGTCTGTGATATTGAAGAACAAGATCGAATTCAAACACGTATCTTTTTAAATTGCGTAGAGTAGATAATAGATATAAAAGATAATTAAAACAGCAGATTGAACGTGTCTTTGTGCGTGTGCATGTTTCTGAAGAAGCCATCGCACCTTAATCTTGGGCAGGAAGTTGATTCGTGCCCGTTTATGTTCAAGTCCGCGAGGCTCCTTCACTTTCACCCCGAGGTGCTTCATGTAGGTGAGAATCACGTACTGCATCGCCTGACTGCAGCAGGACACGACGCACAGGCAAAACATTTTATGTCATTGCACATTAAACATTTCACGTAACTGAGACTCCTGTCATCTTTGGAGGTATTTCATGTAAGAACTGACGACGCGGTGCTTCCTACAAAATCTGAATAGAAACTAAAACAAGAAACTCCCTCCTCTCTCACCACTTCTCCTCCTCTGACGGGTGTGACGTCAACCTGGAACACACAACTCCAGGTCAGCACACAGACACACAACCGAATGTTCACACATCTTTGTACACGTGCTCAGACACTCACAGGATATCCTCTATCTTGGAGACGATGTGTTCGGCACAGGAACATTCCTTCTCTAAACCCTGTTGATCTTTTCCTCCGTCGACGTCCAGCTTGGACAGTTCGTCTTCAGCCAGAGTCAGACCCATACTGCGCTTCTGTCTGCGCACACAAACACAAACACACAGGTTCCACCACGTGGGGACGACGCCTCCTGAGAAGTCAACTGTAAGAGATTTTCCTATCGAGAGGTTTTACCTGAAGTCGTCCAGGTTCTTGAGCAGGTCCGGCAGCAGCGAGTCCTGTAACATCTGCGTGTACTGCTTACAGAGCTCCTCTGGGATTAACTCCAGCCTCCGCTTCTCTGTGCCGACACAAACACACAAACCAGAAACAGTCAACCTCAGTCAACAGCCCCCTTGAACTCAATCAAGCATCAGCTTAGCCCGTTGATGTAGATGTAATGTGACTATCAGCCTGTGATTCTATAGAAATCAGATTATTGTTTCATACCAAGTTCGGCTGCAATCGTCTCTGGAACTGGTAGTTTCAGATTCTGCAAAAAAAAAACACAACGAAACAAACTTTTCAAGGATCCAGACACTTGATCGGTGCGGAAAGAAAAAGACCGTGAGAGTAAACTCACCGCTGATCGGTCCAGGAAGAGCGTGTGGAACTCCATGAAGATGCGTCGACTTTCTTTGGAGCTGGTTTGTTTGTGCATGTCAGCGTAGAGGTAACACAACTGTCACAGGAAACACACACACAGAGTTTTAAATCACTGTCAGTCTTGTTTCATGTATTTACTGTGTGTGTGTGTGTGTGTGTGTGTGTTGTACCAGAGGTGCAGGGTCAAACTGGGAGACAACATGATGGAGGAACACAGCGAGGTGAGCCGGCCGAGTCTTCAGCAGGTCGATGGTCTGGAAACAGCTGCACTGTCCGTCAATCTGGAACAAAGAGAGCGAGAGAGAGAGAGAGAGAGAGAGAGAGAGAGAGAGAGAGAGAGAGACAAAGGACAAACTTTTTATTTCATGTTGCTCTGACTTGAACGTTTAGTTTGTTCCAGTTTTCTCTGTTTTCATCCACCAGCAGCTTCTAAACATAAAATACACACCTGCTCTTGCTGAGAGTCAAAGTAGTCGTCTTCTGCTCCGATGATCTGCGGGTTGAGGGGGTAGGGAGGGCTACCCACAATGCACTGGGCAACGGGGTCCTGAGGGACAGATTTAGGGTTAAAACTACAGATCCACAAACTCTAACACTTCAAACTGAAAAAGAGAGAGAGAGTGTGTGTGTGTGTGTGTGTGTGTGTGTGTGTGTGTGTGTGTGTGTCTGTCTTACGGTGTCAGTGCTCTCCTCAGCGTCAGGCGACGAGCAGAGGTTGAGTCCGTCTCTCCGGCTGATGTCCGGGCTCTGACAGGGCGTCGCTCTTTTGCCAGGACTCTCTGGGAGGGGACTGCTGTGCAACTAACACACACCCACACACACACACACACACACACACACACACACACACACACACACACACACACACACACACACACATACAGGTCAACACGCAGATAGAACAACACAACACTTAAGCCAAATTGATTGTTTAGTCTGGTGCTGAATGCTGGGAAATCACCACAGACCAGGACCGTTTCATCTCTATTTATAGAAGCTGTGATAAAAGGTTATTTGTTTTTTTGAGACGTCTGTGTGAGCTGTACTTCCTGTTGTATCTAAAAATCAGATGGCGGACACTCCTACGAAATACAATTAACAGCAGAGTGCAGACGTCTGCCGAGGCCCAACAGATTCCTTAAGTTCAATCAAGCTGCATCAAATTACACACAATCACAGATATACGTCTTCTAATCATGACAGATTTTTCTAAATCAATTTAAAAAAAAAAAAAAGCACATCTATCTTTTATGGAAACTTTTTGTCTAAATGATAAATGACCTAAACAACTTATTATAATTTTAATTATAAATAAAACTGGCACAAGACCTCCACCCAAATAAATGTACAGTAAAAAGTAGAAAATACTTCTGTCTGTATGAGTTCACCACAGCGACAATGATGATCTGTCATTACACTCACAGAGTTACTGTCGATGACGCCGTCACACTCCTCCTCCATTAGCTTTCATCCATCCCAGAGGAAGCACAAGGAAAGACAAATAAAAAAGAAATGAACAAGAGCTGAAGTAATTATTAACAATCAGTGTCACTCTGTACCTCTAAGTCCAGCTGCTGTTTGGTCAGTATCTTCTGCAAACTGTCGATCTTGTGGCCGTGCGCGGTTTTGTTCTCGTCCTACAAAATGAAATAAAGACGAAACACCGAGTCTGAGCCGGAGACAAAACAAATGTTCCTGTAACGTTGTGACAAACGTGAGAAAAAGTTTTCAGACTGCTTCATGAGAACTGATGGAAAGAGAGAAGTGATACACATCTGACTGAGAGACAAAAGAGGAAGAAGGGGGCGATGTCCACCACATTGAATTCAGATTATGACTTCACACAGAGCACTGGGTCATAATGAAGAAAAAGAAATCGAGAATAAAGTCGTGGTATTATGAGGTTAAAGAACTAATGTTTTCTTCAGGAAACGAGAAGGAAGGAAAACTCATCACCAGAGGTTTTCACACAAAAACTTAATTCTAATAAACTACTGAATTGTAAGATCTGCATTAACTTGGTGCAAACAAATAAATAACTAACCAAAATAAAATCCTAGACCTGATTTTATGAAACTCAAGTCTTCAGTTTGACACGATTGCCATGACGGTAAACTGTTGACACAGTGCATTTTGGGTAAAGTTGGCAGTAATGGACTGAGACGACGTGACTAATGAAAAATAACGAGCTGTGGGCTGAACCAGCGAGATAAGCTCCTCGTATCATGAAGCTTATCAGAGTTTAAAATAACATCGTGGAGACCAGTAGAGATCCAGCAAAACAAAATGAGAGCGAAGCTGCAGCACAGCGTCACACTGACACCAACACTTCTTAAATACTGAACTTCGAAAATGAATATTTAAAATATTGCTTTAACAACTTTTAATTGTTTTTATGTCTTTTATTGTCTTTAAATGTTGTTTTAGAAAGTCTGTGGTTTTATTTGAGCTATATTTTCACGTGAAGCCCTTTGAGCTGCATTTTATGTCATGAAAAGTGTAAAATAAATAAATAAAGTTTATTATTATTATTTTTACAACATGGTAGATTCTTGATGCATTCCTTACCGCATCAGACAGAGGGGAGGCGCTGTGCTCCTGAGGGCTGCACGGCTCCTCAGCTGACAGCACAGGTGAGTGAGGCACCGAGAGAGACGGGGGTGAACCGACCTCGGCCTCGTCGTCCCTCTCGTCCTCCTCCAGGGGGATCTGAGGAAGACCCGGGGGCCTTCCCAGCACCGTGAGGGCCACATAGGAACCCGCTGCCGGAGAGAGGGAGACGGACGAAAAGGGACGAAAGGGGAAATTAAATCTCGGTATTTATTATTGTATTTCTGTAGCAGCCAAACAAATGGTATCAAGTGATGTATGAAGTCTTATTGTTCAAGTGTGATGCAGAAACGTGCATACTCACATTTTATCAGCTTTACAACCTCAATGTGGTTTGAATGTGTGACTAAGGTCCCGTTGACCTGAGAGGAAAAAATTCAGTTGACTGACTGTGACATGATGCATTCAGGATATTCTACATGTTTGTTATGGTCAACACATCACGTAAGAAGATTCAGAACTACACCGAGTTTCATTTAAAAATAAGTCACTAACACATATAATCATTTTTAAAAGGTAAATGAGTTCATTAGTAAATTCGGCAGCAGGATTGTGAAAATGGTAAAACTTCCAACAAACCTATTGCTTCCATGTGGCTCGTCGATGTATTTTAAAAAGGGCGAGGAACAGTGGATCGCTATAGTTCTTACAGATTAAAGATAATAAAATACATTAAATGTATAAGATTATAACAACCTCATCACCCAAGGCATCAACATACTGCACTGAATTAATTA